CTGACCCAGCAAACCATTTAAGCATGTGGTTAGAAGTCAGCATGCATGCTGCCCCATTGAAGCAAACGAGGTTATTCAAAGTTTGAGCACATAGTTAAGTGCTTTGAACGATTGGGTCATTAAAGTACCAACCACTTACTGCCAGAGTATAAGGCTAACTTACCGCTATGAACAGGTTGTTGCATAGCTGTCCATTATGCGGCTTACATACCACTCTTTGAAGCATGCTTTGAAGCATTTCTTCACCACTGGATAAGAAAAAAATGTGGGTCTGTCTGGGCAGGAAATTCCTACATTCCCATGATTTCACTTTCATGTGCAAAACCAAATCATATTGATGCCCAGATATAAGCATCACTTAGGGAAATACAAAGCGCTATCAATGATGATAATGGTAATTATTCAGTGCCACCCCTCTCCCACCGCACATACACACGGCATTAGAGCCAGCTTCCTCCTGTATGCAGGGCTGGCATTAACTCATAACTCACAATGAAAGGGTAAATTCATGTAAACAGAAAATGCTACATATCGTATTAAACATTGTTTAGAGTGTCTAAGATGCTGCTTGATTCTGAGCAATATTGCTGCCTGGTAAAAGCAGTGTTGTCAAAAAGAAAACTTGTGCCCTCTGAGTAGTAAGTAGATCTTGCAATTTTATCTCAAAGCCAGGAATAAGACTAGATATAAAAGTGCATTTGTAGCCTTTGTTCTGACAGTTGTAGACTGGGAAATGATGTGTGTTCACTAAAGCACATATGCTGGAAGAAACCAAAACAGGTTTGTTGTGCTAGGGGAAGCACGAGAAGCGAATTCTGCCGATGTTTGCCTCATCTCAGCCCAGGAAATAAGATCCCTTTCCTTAACTTTGGTGACTACTACTGTGATTTAAGGGTTGTGAGAAAAGTAGGAACAGAAGCTCATAACTTTATTTTAATTATGGATTTCTATATCTACCAATATACACCTGTTCTATTCAGATCTCAACGTATAATTCCGCTGTGGTTGTTTTGGGGTTTTTTGGGTGGTTGGTGGGGATTTTTTTGCTCAGGGAGTATGGATGTACTTTGGCTTTGTCAGAGAACACTTTCAGTTTAGTTCTTACCATTTAGAGGGAAAAAATCCACACAGAAAAAAAATCCTATTACTGTTTTCTCCTTTCTCATTTGCCTCTTACCCTTATTCTGTCATCCTGCTTCTTTGTTTCCTCATGTTATTGTACCATCTTCATTCAAACACAATGTCGTGGCCATCTGAGGGATCAAGAGCTACCTCGTGTTCATAGGAGAATTTTATATTGTTGTTATAGGCTCTGTTTGGTGCTCAGGTGTCATGGTGATTATTGCACTGGAAATACTGATCTGTGCAACAACCTTTACGCAGAGAGAGAAGGAATTCTGTACTGGCAGGACAGTTAGGCCTTTGTCTTGAAAAATTTGCAGTCATAGACTAGAAATGTTTCTGTAAGGAAGCAGAAACATCTCTCTCACCACAGGGCTTTCTGAAATGGTAAAATCAGGGATAGCATTTGATCGGCATTATGTAATGTAAAGTTCTTGTTTGTCAAATACTGAGACCTTGGCATAATGCCCCCTTAGTCAGGACTGGTCTTGAAATACCTGAAACATCTCACCACTTCAGTGCTAAATGCTGTTGACTGTCTCTCTTTCCAGCCTGTCCAGCTGCAAATGCATGGGCTGTTATTCTCATATCTGTTAGCTCTGATATAACCTTGACCACTTTTGATGAAGGCAAAAAAAAAGGTACCCCTGTACAGTCACTCAAGATCAGTCCAGCTATTGCAAATGTCAGGTTCTGTCAGTGGGAAGCCAAGCAGTGTCAAACGGTATTTGAATTCTGTGTTCAAAAAAAGCAGAAAAGCCTCTGATGAGAACTTACTTCTTTTAGGTTATCATCTCCTGGAAACTACTTACGTGATGCAAGGATGGGTTCACATTTGAATAGGATATTAAGAATCTCTTCATTTTTTGCTCCAAGTGCATACCTTGCTCTATAGAAGAAAGGTATTCTTGGAAGATGTGGGAGTACCTATAGAGTCTTGGGCTACAACTCAAATTACTCTGCTTGGCTATGGCTTGTCTCCATGGTTTATAAAACTCAATATATATGACAAAAATAGACACAACTGAAAGTAAATGAGGAGGAAGTAAATGTATTTGACCTCCTCATATGCCAACCAAAAGCTGACTTTGAAGGGATGATATGGGAGATATGGGAAAAACTGATGCAAAGCAGAGCTGAGTAGATTGGTAAAATACCAGTTGACATTCCGCTGGTGATGTATGGCATTTTAGAACATTTTCTATCCATAAACTTAAAAAAGATGCATAAACCCAGAGCCTCATTTCCCCAATGAAGAACAGAATATTAAATGACTTGCCAGGGAACACATAGCAGGTTAATGGCGAAGCTGTTGATCCAAATCTTTCCTTGATTCCATCCATTGGATTACAGAGCTGTTTCTCAGACTTTCCTTTTGGATCCTTCTGTGGTTGGAACCTCTGCTCCTTCAAATATATTTCACCTTACAAATTGGCACAAAGCTATATGCGCAGATTGACATAAGCATTATCAAGACCAAAACTTACACAACCATCAGTTTTGCATGGTGAATATACCATATGGATTATCAAACTTATGCTATTATTAAAAACACATTATTGCATGCAAACATATGTTGCATGCATACTAAAATTGGATTATCAGTTAATTTTGTCAAAAATAAATCCCCAGCAATACACAGAAGGTTTCCAGCTTTAGCATCCTAGGGGTAATATTTCATGAGCCCTAGCGTCCTAAGGGTAATATTTCATGAGCCAAGACAGCAGAATTAGAAAAAATGCTGCACTAAGGAGGAAGATGGGCTGCAACCCAAACTCCATGAGGCCAGTGGTAATGCAGTTATTGATGTTATTGGGCTAGACTTTCAACTTTCGAAAAGCCTGGAAGAAGAGAGGCAAACAGGAGAGCGGAGTGAGACAGCCCCAGCTGGGACTGATCTGGTCCGAATAGCTCAGTTGGGCACAGGGTAACTACAGATACGGATATAAAACCTGTGCCAAGTTGACACTTTGGAGGCAATTTCTAGAAAAGCAGAACTCCTTTACCTTAGACTGTCCACGTGAACTGAGCAGATGATAGCCCTTACTGTTGCCTTGAAGACTGCGGAGTTTGGAGGAAAAAGCTCTACAGCACCATAAGGGCACAATCAGACAGCTTAGAGGTAAAATCACATTCCTCTCTTCTTCAGTGTACATCACTAAAGTAAAAAGCAGGGTCCTACCCTTAATTAGGCAGATGTGAAAAAGCTAAACCAAGGGATGAGTCCTCATTTTGAGATGACCTGTAGGTCAAGTTTCAAACTGAACCGTTTTAAGATTTAAAAATAGAGTTCGTCCTACAGATAGACTGAGTCACCTCTTCACCCGGTGTCAATTAAGCATTGCTTGAATGCGATGAGTGGACCGAGAGAGCTGGAGGGCTCTCCCTTCACCTTTCACTCACCTTCATCAGTCAGAAGAAGAAAAGGGAAGGACAGTTCTATACACTGTTCATGTATGCAATTCACTTTGTGTGTATTTTTATTTTGGAAACACTGAGCAGTAAGTAATGAAAATCTATCAGTAATGAAAACCTATCCTAAACTAGAGCTGGGCAAATAACCTTTTTAATGGCTTAGACCCCGTATCTCAGCATCGAAAGCTCACAGGCTGAAATATTCTTTGGTCTAACTGATGCTTTAAATTATTTTAATGACTGCCATTTTATGTTTTAACTCCTTGGACCAATTGCAATTGTTCTAAATGTCAGCTTTGCCATTCAATTATTACATGAGCCACATAAAACTCTTCTAGTTTCCTGCTCTGATGGGATCTGCACATTTGCAATTCTGCTTCCCAGTGCACTTGTGTATGCAGCTTTGAAACCCTCTCTGCCAGTAAAACTGAATTATTTGATTGTTCCGAGAAAACGAACACAAAGGGGACATAAAAAGATCAAGCTGAGTTTATTTAAGATTTGGATAAACATCCATGGAACTCTCCTGGCATTATTTGCCCAGCTCTTTTTAACACTGTGGCGGTGCAGCATTTTGGATAGTGTGGTGCCTAAGCTAACCAGGCTCACTCAGCATCTTCCTCCAGGATGGAATGGCAGACAGGTTGTATAACCCAAGTGTGTTGCACCCACTCACTCACTGTAAACTCAGACCCTGCAAAACTTCCTAGAGATTGAAGAATTAAAGGACAAAATTGTTCAAAGGATTACAATATGCAATTTCAATGCAAGGCATAATGGAAGTAGCTGTGTGGGAGGATATTACTTCATTATGAACCTAAATCAGATGCCCAAAGATTTCTGTCCACTCCAGCGACAGTTCCATCGGGCTCTACAAGAGGTTTTCCAGTGGAAGAAAAATAGCCCCCCTCCCTTCAGGCTTGAGAAAGTTGTATGGCTTTTTTAACAGTTTCTAATGAAATCCCATATTATTGCTTCTCCCCTGGGAGACTTCAAAAGTCATGCAAACTTCACAGAGCCCACATGTTCGTAAACCTCAAGCAAAAGACCAGTAAGGAAATAAATTCCAGTTCTCCAATTAGCATTTGACATTCTCTACTGTTTTTTTGGTGGGGTGAATTTGTCTTCCTTCTAAACCATGCTGATAAATTAAATGAGTTACTAAACCCAGCATTATTTCATGTTTGAAGGCATACTGAAATCAAACACTCCAATTCACAGTGGGATTTGCTTTCTGCATAATATTTGGGGGAAATATGAAACAAACCCAGCAGTTTCAAACGTGTTTAAGGGGATAATATGTACATGAATAATTTCTTCAAGCTCCTTATTGTGTATTCACAGCTACTGCCAAACACAACAACAGAGACGGGCATTAGGATATGAAATGGGAAGTGGTCAAATTTTCAAAGCAAGCTGCTGGGTGCTGAACACTTTTGAAAATCTGGCCCCTGACTCTTTGGTGCTGTTCCAGAAAGAAATATCTCTATGCTGGCAGCTGGCCAACCAGCTTTGGAAATCCTTTTGCACAGTTATTTCAGTAGAGCATAAAAGCCGATCCCCAGCTTTCTCTGCCTGATTAAGCACTGTCACCAATCACTATGCAGCTCTAAGGTACGCATGAAATATTCCTAGATAAATCCTCCATCTCCAGAGAAATGTGTTTCCTGTACAACTGTAAATCCAGGTTGTGTTGAAACTAATCCAGTCTGGCAGTGCTATGGCCCTAGAAAAGTTTCCTTGGAAACGACAAACTTATGCAATGGCAAAGTCATCCAATCTTTTCATGCCACTATATTATATTAAAAACACCTGGTTTATTTATACAATGACTTACAGATCAGGGTCCTAGAAATAATAATACATAAACTTCATAGCAAAAAATATACATATAATAATTCATCCTTCTATGATATCTAGAAATGATGTATATTGGTGTGTGTGAACATATATATAAATATATGGGTTGTACTTATGTTTAGGGCACTTGTGTATAGATATGTGTATCTACATACACACAGTATACATTTATATATCTTTCTAGGCGCCATGTGTGTATATATAAACACACATAAATACACACACAGGAGCATATTTACACTCTGTGAGTAGACGTGTACTTTGCAGAATCTGCACACAAAGAGCTGGAGTCCTTCACTGGCTGTGAACATCAAAGGGGTCAGTGACCACCCGCATTAGTGTCCGCGGAAAGAGAACTAATGTCATCGCTGTGGGCACAGGACTGGCTTGATGCATCTTCCTTTGTGAAGAACTAAATTTGCCGGACAGTGGCAGCCTGCAACGCAGGGCTTGTTGCATGGGCCAATCTCGTTCCAGTTGTCACATGTTTTGACACATCCTGGACCACAGGTATCATAAACTGCACCGTGTTTACACTGGGTCGCTGAAAGGCAGTTAAAAGGAACAAAACATGCATATTACACAGAGTCCCACGAGGAAAGTTACATATCTGTTTGCTTGGTTTCTACTGCAAATATCAAAAAGCATATTTTGGTATAATGATCATCTAGAGGAAAAAATAATCTGTAAAGAGATTCCACTATATTAAATGCAACACTACTTTACATCACAAATATAAAGGTAGCAAAATTCCTAAACAAAAAGGTATCAAGTTCCTAGCAGTCTTGAACTTTTTGAGAATTTTAACACAGCTGACAGTATATAAAGTTTTGGCAAAGTTTCTATCTACAAGCAGGTCTATGCTTTATAGTTAAGGCTTAACATTGTTAGTTATTTGTTACATTGCCTTTTATCAAAGATTTCTGAAACATTTACAAGGACAGACAGTTATTATCGGTCCCACTCCTACAGAAAGAAGAGAAAAGAGAGTCATTCACCACATCAGACTTTCTATTCCTAAGATTATACTTTCAATATTGCATATTGCAGAAACTCAAAACAATGCTGTTGATTCAGAAGCACCATTTCTAAAACAAACATTTTTTAAAAAAAATTACTTATTTCCATGCTTTATGCTATTTTACCAAGGGATCACTGAGAATGAGGATTTTTGTACTTAATGATTCCAGTATCTATTAATTGATTTATATAGTTGACAGTTCAATGCATTTCCAACATAAGAGACTGCTGAGGGCTCAGCTAAAAGCCCTATACTCCCTCCAGATCAATATTTAAACTCTTAACATTTTACATCCTGCCTTTTTACTATGGAGAATAATACATTGTTCGATAACAAATAAAAGCCTGTTATTCTTTCTAACGGCTGTGCTGATGGCAAGAACAAGTACTGATAAAATAGTTTATAAATGGTAAGGGACTCTCAAGCATCCAGAATCATCTCTTGCTATTTACAGAGAGATGGTTGCATTAAGAAGGTGTCTTCCATTGTGAGAAAGCTTGAAGGTCCAGATTTTTTAAAGAACAGTTCTGTTATGGACAGAAAAATGCTGTTTTGTTGTGAGAATTGGCCTTAGAGGGCTATTACAGTACTGTTATTATTCATAAAGAGAAAATAGGCAGAAATAAATTGATTAAATATGTATAAGAGTGTATCACAGAGGATGGAAGTCTTAGTGCTAAGGCATCATAAATTTAAGGGGTTCCTCTTCACCAGTAACAAAGTGATCTTCAAAACAGCATCAGCTTCTTGCAAGTTTTACTTCTTATGCATTTTATGGCATATGTGAAAAGCAGCCCTGAAGGAGGAATTCTGGCAAGAATGCATACAAAGTTCTCAGGGCACAGATATTAAATAAGCAAACAAAAAATGGGAAAAATTGGATAGTACTGCAGAAAATTACCCTGGAGTTACAGAGGATCAACAGCTGAATATTAGATAGATATTAGATATTAGGTAGATACTAGGAAAGAAAAAGCTTTCTAGCTTTAAGCATGAGAAAGCACCAGAGCAAGCTACCTAAACACTCTGTGAGACATCTTTTATTGAACATAATTTTAGAATAGGTTGGAAAAAACATCTTTCAGTAATGTTCAAGATATAGGCTTATTCTGCTTGTGGACATAGATCTGTTGTGAACTTTTTTCCAGCTCTACATTTCTATCTTGCTCTGCATGATAACTTTCATGCATATTGAAGAAGGAACAAACAAAAGGAGTAACTAAAATGAAATTTAAATGAAACAGGAAATTTAGAAGGTGGGAAAAATGTGTAAGCAGTATTGAGCATACAGTAAAATGTTAGCTTCACAACAAACTCTGCACTTATGTAGTGTGTTAAGAATAGAGGTTGAATCTCTGTAAAAGGGAAAACGAAAATGTGCAGAGCTCCCAGGAGCTTTGCAAACAATGTATTAACTGTCTAGAAAAGTAGACCGAGATGTTCAAAGATGGATAGTGATTGTCGACACTCCATGTGAATTATCTTAAGGGGGCTGTTTACTAGAAGCTTTTGTCCCTCCTCTCTGAAAATGAGTTTCCCTTCAAAGGATCTCTAATTGACCAAGGACAAACTGAAACATTACGCTTCAGTACAGGCAGTTTCCATATAGAAAAGTCTGTGAGCTTCAGTTTTTAGGCTGCAGAAGTTTCATTCCACAAAGCTTTACTACAGTAATAGCCGGCCTGTTCATTCCACCTGAGCTCTGTTTGGTGCCTCAGCCGGTGGGTTTGAGGAAAGTTGGCCAAGGTCTCCTTTCCACTTCCTCATCTCTGCCCCAGAGCAAATGAGAATATATTACAGGCTGCCTGCGGCAGCTGTGGCATCTGTAAGTACTCCCCAGCTCTGCTTTACCACACATGGATGTGGTATGTTAAAACACCTCCTTCTCCTTCAGATGATGCCATGTAGAAGATATGATGACTTTATTTTCTGCTGTAGGCAGTCTATAATGGCATTATTAACTTCCTGTCAAGGGAAAAATCAGAAAAGTACAATGGCTGCTGTTTAAGTTCCCTGGATGGCTTTTATTGTTGAGTGCTTCAGTTGTTAACATGTGGTGTGATTGATCCAGAACATTCCACTTCATCAACAGTTTAAAAAATAAAAATAAAGACATTCTGCAGTAGGCTTGCCAGGGACTGCTGAAATGAATCAGTACCATGTAAACACAGAAAACAGAAGTGATGCCTTTGCACCCATCTTTTAAGGCAAATTCCTCTCTTAAAGAACTGAGCTCTGTTAGTAATAACTTCCTTAGTGCACTAGCAAAAAAAAAAATCAAAAACCCAACCCCAAAGTACAAAAGTTACTAATAATACTGCATTTTGCAACGTTACCAGTCTCAACAGGATTTTTCCACTCCTCTTCTAGAACATGTGTTTGGCATGACAGATGTGAGCTTCCTCAGACCGCTTTCTGAGCTGGTGGGATGATAGCCAGCTCCAGTCCAGAAGCCATATAGTCACATAAATACAGCACTGTGCCTGAGCTAATAAACCCTGCCTAATAAGGCTATACAGTTTTCAGACCAGAGCCGGTTTATTCCAGCCACTTTGGCAGTTTCACAGAGAAGGCTTGTATCTGTCTGCGCCTGTCTTTGTAGACATGTCCGTAATTATTTAGAAGGAATTCTTGTTCCCCAACACAAAAGCCGAAGTACCCAACATGGAACTGCTGAAGGGTTCCCTTGGTGGATGATATCTGGTAAATCTGATTCCACAGAAATTTCTGAGCTAACATTTATGCATCAGTGAATCATCCTGCTGCTTCTGTTGGTGTTGCAGTTTGGGCTTTTGAGGTGTTTTGTGGGACCTTCAAACTGAATGTCACTCATGGTGCTTGCATCTCCTTCTAACATAGTAGAAGGCACTAGATCTGGACACTGACCTTCTAATGATACTCTTGTGTTAATCTTTTCAACTTTCAGTTTTTAATGAGTTTCCACTGAAAAGTCAGAATAGCCTTCTGATACATATTCACATGGAATAAAGCGATTAAAGGAAAGCAACATATAACAGGGAACAAGAGTGACTTTGACCAGAAAACTCCACACCAGAGAAGAGGGGACCCAGGAGAGAAGAGTCAAAATCAGATATACCGTTATCCTCCTCTAGTTCAAACAATCACATAGGAAAAAGAGAAAATTGTTCAGTTTTTATGAGGCTGTTGGAGCATGTCAGCACATCAGTGTTAACCGTGCACACTTTGCACTTTATTGTATCCATATCTGCTTTTTCTTTTTGCCTGTGTAGTCATGCCCATGGCAGGGAGTTATTGCCATCTGCTATCCTTGATTCTTCTTTCTCTCAGTGCCCTCAGAAATTCAGTGTTAAATTACTATGGCCCAAGGCCTTTCATAACTTCAGTTTCCTTAATTGCACTTTATAAACTGCTTGCTTAGCCTTTCTTGGGCTAAAAAAAAATCTTTTTTCTATCTCCTTTTCAAACGTCTTCCTTCCATTTGTAACCTTTCTTTTCCCTCTCACATGTATCACTTTATCTTATTTTTTTCTTTCCCTCACACTGGCTCTCCTGTCTGGTTTTTTTTTTGTCTTCTCCTTTGCACATCATATTTCTTTCTGTGCCCATCCTAACAGGTCTCATTCCCAACTACTTCCCATAGAAACCCATATTCTTTTTCAAACCCCCTCAGTTCCCATGCGGACCTCAACAACCCTTTCCTACCCTAACCATTTTCCTTACTCATTAGCTTCTTTTCTTCACCCCTCCGGTTTAATGACAGCTGACATTCCCCTCACTGAGCCAGCTTCGGTCAGGACAGAAAACCTTGAGGAACAGTATTTCACGGAGGACTTAGAGGAGGATACGCTGCTGCACTGGGGAAGGAGGAAGAGCATGTAGGGAACAGGACATGTAATTCAGCCCCCTGAGCATCCTGTTTGGCTGGCCCTCCAGACAACACAAGCTTTCTAAAGATTATAAAAATGAGCTAAGCGTACAGCAGTCAGGGTAGAGGAACTGGCAACCACACAAGATCTGGTTTTATAACACACAAAAGAATAATTAAAACCTGACTTTACTAATAAGTATACTCCATTTTCATCAGAACACAGCTCTTCCAAGTATCCCACCAGCTATGAAATGTCAAGCAGGAAATGAAACTCACAGAATGCTAAAGTTTTATTACGGATATATTGTTTCATACCCAGGAACTTTTACCAATAATTAGGACACAATAATTGTAACTACAAGTTTTGGGGAGAAAAAAGTAAGTTAAAGATTAAAATCTTGATGCTGGCCACTGGTAACATATGGGGTGCAGTGGATGCACTTTAATGCTTACTGTATGATTTACTGTAGAAGATGATGCTACTTGGTTGACATTGGATGCTTAAGTAAGTGTTTTGAGGGTACTTGACCATATACAGCTTATCTGTATTTTCTGCATAACAAGATTTCCCCTTTCCTTCTAGAAGACTGCACTGAGATTAAAAAACACAGGTGGATTTAAACACTCCTTTCATTAGCTTTAATGGAGAATGTATGTTTAAATTTCCTCATAATGTTGTCTCAAGGACTGTTTTTGCCTTAGAAACTTTCCTTGTCTTTGGTAAAATGCCAGAAAACATTGTGAAAAGAAGCCTCACTTAGTTAAGTTGTGATATGCCAACACTTGTATAAACTCCTTAAGGCAGGCACTGGAGTTTTTATTATTTTTACAGCATCTGCCACAGTGAGGTCTTGGTATGAAGTGCTTTGGTCAAAAAAAAAAAAAAGTCAGGATGCTTGTTTCAGGTTTTGCATGGATCTGCTACCAGATCAATAGATTAAAATTACATACATTATTGGTGCTGTCTGAGACCACATCCTTGAATGGGGCTTTCACTTAGTGACACCCTGTTTGAATCGTTCGGTTCCTTTGTAAGAAAAAAAATGAGCCTTTCGGGAACAGTCAATTAAACGTAATTTGCTCTGTCACTCACCCATCCCTGCTATCGTGCCTTCAACAGAAAAGGAAATTGAAGTTGAGAGAGTAACCCTGAGCCACACACAATCACCAAAATGGACCACAGAGTAATAGCTCTTTGACCAGCACTCAGTATCCTTCTCATTTTTTTCCAACTACTGTCAATTGCTTTACATATATCTGAATACATTTCCAGGCAAACTGATGCCATTATAGAATGTCCTAAATTAATGAGACCATCATCAGGGGAAATATTCATCTGCAATATTGCATTTTACTTCAAGTGCCCATGACCACAGGCCACCACTTCTCATGGAAAAAATTACTCACAATTACCTGCAATTAATGCAGTCCTAATCACACGGGGAATCTGGTCCAAGTACCAAAATTAATGCAGGTTTGCATTTTAATATTATCATTAAATACACTGTCTCTTCTTCCCTTGTTGAACCTACTGCAATCATATATGCATGTTGTCTCTAGAAGTATAACTATGCTTTAACAGGAGGTCAAAGGAATTTAAACATTATCTGTAATCAACCGTTTACATATCCTGAAAGAAAGAGGTGTGTACTTCTTCCTGGAAGTACATAAAATTAAGATAGGTGGCATTAGAGGTGAAAAGTTTTGCAGTGAAATAAACATTTCTGATAGTTGAAAATCTTTCCTGGTAAGGTCTTTCTCCATAACTTAGAACACAACTTCCCTGCTGGTGTGATCCCAGTCCTTTCTAGCCAGCTCACTTTTGATCCTCCTCCACCAGTAAAAGGATAGTAGCCTATTAGCCTATGCACTGGCTTACAAAGAATCAGTCTCAAAATGCTTACCTGCACAGTTCTGCTCCGGTACCCACTGGACTTTCAACCCTTCCCTCTGACAGGCTCGGGCGTATGCCAGGAATGACTCGCAGTAGCAGTTTTTATGTACCGGGCACTCGCACATATCTGTCACACAGGACCTGCAGAAGAAAGCCCCAAAACAAATAAGCAAGGAAAGCTTCGGTGGATATCTGTCGGAGGTTTGGCGTTGTTTACTTTCCAGTCACATAGAGTTCACTGCCATAGCAACCTGTGCAAAACAGCAAGAAAGTTAAATGCATCTCTGCTGACACATGCCAAGGGCTCATCTCTTTTTTGACGTGCTGCTCTGATGCAGAGAAGTCTCAAGAGCATCAGGGAGAGAACCACCCAGAAACAGGGAGGTGAGAAGAAGACCCAAGAAACATCAGGCAGAGAGGACCAAGACCACAGTGGGAGAACGCAAACTCAATTTTTGCAATGATTTCGTGTCAACACAAGATAAAGACTTCTTTCTTATTCCCTGCAAAGTAATAATTTTATAATTTTACCAGCAGTGTTAAATGGATGACTTCTGCAGGTAATAAGCATGTGCCCTTCCAAGCAAGGGATGAAAAATGGTGCCTTCTCTCCAGGTTACCTCCAGCCTCTCCCTGCTTTGAAGGCCCCCAAATAGCTATATGCCTGTTTTCTCAGCAGCATCACTACTAAATGCCAGACTTTAAGAGACTCCAAAGGAGCAGGGGTGATGCAACATAACTGAGCAGTTCTCATGCTAGGAAATCCCCATGGCACTTGTTAATACCACCATCTTCTTCCATTGCATAAGATGGAATCACCACAAAACGAGAGGGAGCAAAGCTGCTAACATGGCCCTAAGTGAAACTGCTACTGCGTATGTCACCACTATATTTCAAGTTAGCTCATCCAGAACGTGTGCCCATTTGGCACAGACCTAAAATATAACTGGCAAGAACCGGCGGATTTGCAGTCAGCAGTTTCTGCATAAGCAAAATGCTTAGACGCTTCTGCAAACACAGCAATGCAAATTCAGAAATGCCTAGTATCTACTGCTCCGAGTAGAATCATTAGGAGGCAAGGACAAGGTGCGGGGAAGACATACTCGGCCTTCTGAAAATCATGCCCTCAGTTCCTCTGCTTTTGACTGAGGGTGCTCTGTGCATGCACCTTGGGTGTCGGTGGGCAAGAGCCCCCTGCTCCATGCACGTTCAGGGACTTCTCCATTCCTGAGAGGACGAGGCAACAATTGTGAGAGGCACAAATCCTCCAAAAAGACCAAGGGCTGAAGTAAAAACTAACCTCTCCATGTTAATTGCTCTTGCTTTGGACCAAAAATTCAATTGTCTATAGGAAAAGGATGGATATAGGCTTAATTTTCCAGAAACTTTCCCCAAAGCTGAATGGGTAATAGCTTGGAAAAGGTGCAAGCACCTCAGTCAAAGTAATCAGGAGCCCTAATGCCCATACAATGCTTTAGAGTCATTGGGAACCCTTTACTCAAAACTAGGAGGATTAGTGGTCCTTTGAACACAGACAAGCTTGTTTCTGCATATCCAACAGTGCCCCTTCAAGAGGAGTATTTCCCCTTGCCAAAGCCGCTGGCTATTTCAGTGATCACAGTTCTGCTTGACATTTCCATAAGCTTTTAATCATTTTACTCTCAGTGGACACCCAACATGAAACTACCTAAAAATTCACAGTGACAAATAAACAACGTAAGTGCTAATGTAAAAAAAATTACCTGTCCTGCATTTACCGATATATATGTACTGCGGATAAACAGAACTGCTTTGGATCAAATATATAACATGTTCATATTTACAGACCAGTGGTTTTCATTTGATATAACTTTACTTTCTAGGGACAATGTAATTTTATTTAGCTTTAGTTCTGCAGTAGGTCCCTTTACATCTTTCCCAGTAACAGATGTTGCTGTACGGCTATCACAGCTGATAGGCTGCAAGGAACAGATTAGCACAACATCCTTGGCATTTTTTGACATTGTTAGCTGATAAAAGACCTTGTATAAGCACAAGGGGTCACCTTTTTACGTGACACACTAAATAACTTTACACTGTTTCCTTTGGCCACAACATGTTTGTGATTTCTTGCTAGCATCCTTGCAGCAGGCACTGCTCCATATACCCCACGCAATTTAGGAGGTGTATGTCTCATTTTACAGTGAAGTAGATGCTTGTTTGCTACTGCAGCAAATTATTATCACAAAGAGAGTCTGTAATAATGTCCACAGATAGAGTCCACTATCAAGATACCATTTCATCATCTTTTTGTTTCTGCGCTAGCCTCCTTTTTCAATCACATTCTACTGCTCTCCACTCAGATTTAGTTATTACTAATGCCCACAATGTTTAGTGATGCTTGCCAGTGCCAGGTTGGCTATATGTTCACCAACTTCCTGCCTTAGAAATTATAAAATCCTAAACCTGAGGTACTTCCTCTGCTTTTTAGAGCATAAATACATTTTTTTACCATTACTCAGAGGGGGATGCCACATCCTGCACTGAGTCAACGCACCTACAGCTACCTCAGGTGCTTGCATCAGGTCAGGAAATCTCCAGGCTCACCATCAATCACCCAGTCTTTTTAACCATTGACATGTTTGTGGCAAGGCTAGCACTCATCCTTACACAGCCTGGGCATGGTCTGGGGGATTCGGGAGGCCGGGGCACCATTCCCAGTCTGCAGGAGGGCAGCCACACTCTTTAAGGGTGCAGAGAAATTAATCATAGAATCATAGAATGTCCTGAGTTGGAAGGGACCCACAAGGACCATCGAGTCCAACTCCTGTCCCTGCATAGGACAACCCCAAACATTATACCATATGTCTGAGGGCATTGTCCAATTGCTTCTTGAATGTTGTCAGGCTTGGCGCCATGACTACCTCCCTGGGGAGCTTGCTCCACTGCTCCACCACCCTTTGGGTGAAGAACCTTTTCCTAATGTCCAACCTAAACCTCCCCTGGCATATCTTCCTCCCGTTCCCTTGGGTTCTATCATTGGTCATCAGGGAGAAGAGATCAGCGCCTGCCCCTCCTCCTTCCTTCGTGAGGAAGCTGTCAACCGCGATGAGGTCTCTCCTCAGTCTCTTCTTCTCCAGGCTGAACAGACCAAGTGACTTCAGCCACTCCTCATACAGCTTCCCCTCTAAACCCTTCACCATCTTTGTGGCTCTCCTCTGGACACTCTCTAGTAGCTTCGTATCCTTTTTGTACTGTGGCACCCAAAACTGCACATCGTACGCAAGATGGGGCCGCACCAGTGCAGAGTAGAGCGGGACAATCGCCTCCCTCAACCAGCTAGCAATGCAGTGCTTCATGCACCCCAGGACATGGTTGGCCCTCCTGGCTGCCAGGGCACACTGTTGGCTCATGTTCAACTTGCCGTCGACCAGAACCCCCAGATCCCTCTCCGCGGGGCTGCTCTCCAGCCTCTCCTTCCCCAGTCTGTATGTACATCCAGGGTTGCCATGTCCCAGGTGCAAAATCTGGCACTTGCCCTTGTTAAATTTCATATGCTTGGTGACTGCCCAGCTCCCTAATTTGTCCAGATCTCTCTGCAGGGCCTCTCTGCCCTCAAAAGTTTAGCCCCTACGTGCACCTGAGCAATGCAATGCCATTAGCTCTTGGCATTGAAATGGCCTTGGACATTCAGACAGGCTCCAGAGTGAAACATCTCCACTTGGCTGGTATCAGCACTATTTGCTACAGTGTTCAGCACGGGTGTCCACTAAGGAAGGTAGCATGCCACGTGCAACACAAACAATCCTCTGATTCATTACACACCTAATTGCTTGTGTAATTTTATTTTCCTGAAGTGTTTAATCCTGGTGACAGCTGCTGGGCTCAAGCCCTAGGCTTGGCTGAGGAGCAATCATCAGATTGCGGTGGTTTTTATTAATGAATTACAATTGCTAATTATTTGTAAGGTTAAATTAATTAATTAATTAAGGTTAAATGAAAAATGAGAGTAAAGGAAACTATATCCACAGCTGCCAAGCCTAGTCAATAAACATAAAACCTTCTTTTTATTCCTAATGAAATTCCTTGCTGGCAAGTTTAATGCATTAATATTAATTGTACTTAGAAGGATTGGTAGCTGGGGGAGAGGGGTCTTTTTATATCACTTCTGAAATCAGCAGGGAGCAGGTATGTGGTTTGTTTGATAGCCACCATGAGAGTCAAAGGGCAGTTTTGGGAAAGGACATGGAAGCAAAAAATGTCCTCCTCTGGGGGCTGGCTGGTGAGGGGGAGCTGGCGATGGCCCACGGGCAAGCTTTGACTTTGGGTCTGAATTTTTTTGGAAATGTGTTTACTTCTTGCATTTAATGACATTTCTCACAGTTACTGTTGTTACAGTTTTATTAGAGGACTATTACGGGATGCTTCGCTAGGTAAATTTAAAAACTGATTCTTGTGTGCTGTCCTAATCCTTTCCCCTTGCAAAAACCTTTGGAATGTGCATAGCTTTTTTTTTTTTTTTTTTTTTTTTTTCCCCCCCCCGGTTTTTTAAAATTTAAAAAAATT